AACACAAACAAGTATCAGGAAATGGCAAGTTCTATGCAGAGAGTCAAACTAAAGACACAGGACTTAGGGTGACTGGGTTGTAAGAGCAGTTCTCTCTGAATAAAAGACATTTAAACTGAGACCTATAAGCCAAAATACTTGAAAAGATGTTAAAAGACTGATGATCTTTCAGTAAAGAAATCTAGTAAATTTATTCACCCTGACATCTTAGATCCATCTGTCACCAAGACCCACTGTGAGTGGAAAACTCACTGGTGTTCCATGGAACCCAGTTTGAGAAGTGCTGAACTGAGCATGTCTTGGGCTGGTAGTGCTGTTGAATGCAGGCAATATCTGCAGGATGGTCACCTAGTACACTGCCACTGAAATGACCTGAAAGCTCAGCTTGGAGGGCCAATAGACATAATCACTGCCTCCACTGACACCTAGAAAAGTGGAGGCGGCGGCAGCAGGGAATGGCATTGTGAGCAGTGGGATTTCACGATCTGTAAGACTTGCCCCCAGGGGAACCCAGAGCATCATTTGAGGTGCTGCGTGTGCAAGAAGATCAGCCTGGGTGTTGAGGACACTTATGGCAGATGAGGGAGGTTCCCACTTGGCAGCTGGCAGCCCCAGCAAGCCCCTGCTGTTCCATCACTCTCTTTCTGTGCCATCTCCCACCCCTACACCCTGCTTGAGCCCGAAGGCCTCCAGCCAGGGGGTCAGCAAATCACAGCCTATTGGCCCAATCCAGTGTACCACCCGTTCTGGGATGTGAATTTTACTAGAACGTAGCCATGCCCCCTCATTTGCAAATTGTCTACAACTATAGTGGCAGGGCTGAAGAGTTGTGACAAAGACCCTGTGATTCACGAAGCTTAAAAAATTTAATTTTAGGCCCTTAGAGTTTGCTGACCACTGCCCTAGGCACTGTTCTCTGCCTCTTGGCCAGTCCTCCCAGCCTCGTGGGAACAGCTGCTGCCCTCCCCAGATGCGCCCCATGGGAGTCTCCATTCTCCTTGGCAGATACCTACCACCTGGGAAAATCTGTTCAGAATCTTCTCAGTGCCCCTCCTTGGCCTCAGAGGGTTAATACACTTGGCGAGAGCACGTCCACAGGGACAAGATTCCCTCTGCCCCAATCCCAGCTATGCCACTCACTCTTTTTATGACCGTGAGAAATTTGTTAACCTCTCCAACCTTCCATCCGAGCACGTTGTGATGAGGATAACAACACTGCCCGCCTCCTGGGGTTGTTGCAAGGATTAGATGAGATGGTGCACCTGAAGGAATCTGCACAGCTCCCGACCTGCAGAAACTGCTTAATAAGTATTACTTATTATTTTGACCACTATTATGAAAGGGACCAAGCAGAGAGAATTAGACATACAAAACACGAGTCTGACAAAGTCCCTCCATGCAAAGCATCTCAAGTCACTCTCAGCTAACAAATATGAATTAAGGGAGTTTGGGCAAGGGTGTGGAGCATACAGAACTTTCATAAACTAATGGTATTTACATGGTTAATAGGTGTTTATCTTGGAGTAACCATTCTTGAAAGTCTCAAAAAAAAAAAAAACCAAAAATTCAGAAAGCCTCAAATATCACTAGAGAAATCCTGTTTAGAAGTTCTATACAATGTTTGCCAGCTAAAAGAAAAATTCTTCTCTTGATTTTTCCAAGCCCTTCTGTTTATATCCGAGGGGACAGTTCAGTTTCCGCTCCACCTGGCCCCATGGATGTGCACTAGATGGATATTTCTGCATCCTCCATGGAGAATTCTAGAAAGGAAATTTTTAAACGCACATTTTGGAAACAAAACTCCCAAGTGCTATGAATGAACCATATCAGTCATCATTTTCCTGCCTATCCCCTCGCTGGAGCCCAGGGGCTGAAATCACCTGTTGTCTTGGAAATAATCCTTGGAGGAACAAGTCCAAGGGGGAAAGTGGAGTTGTCGTCCCACCCAAGTTTTCTATTATCTAAGCTCAATGCGAACTCAAGACAGGAAGCCCCACATCCTGCAGCCTCATTCACAATCCATAATAGATGATGTTCCTGGAGCCCAAGTCGCAAAAAAGGAGTTCGCTATGCACATTTTGGCCAAGATACAGTCCTGGGATTCAGTTTGAGCAGCTATAACATAAAATAATAAAGTGCAAATGCAAACAGCAAGCATGTGCCCATATCACAGCTCAGAGTGTGCCACAAGCTGACCAAATAACTATACATTTTTCATGTGTCAGTACGGTACTTAATTGGCATTTTGTGGGAAGCCGCTGGGGGAGGGCTTCCGGCATCAGGGCTGGCGTGGAGCCCACATCCCGCTACCCCAGCAGCTCCTCATCTTCCCCATTAACTCAAACCACATGGGGAAACGAGAGGAGGGCGAATGAGACCTTCCCTTTTTTTTCCAAGTGTACTGGAGTCCACCCAGGAAAAAAGCAGGGCAGGTTGATGAAAAGCCTAGGGAAGTGTTCCCAGCCTCTCCACTGTGTACCCAACTGGGGAAAGTGTAAAAACCAGAGTCATTTGAACAGCCATTTAAAACAGTCATTTGAGAATCTGTTTTTTTCAAATGGATTCTCTTAATCCTCGCACAAAGAGCTGAGCAAAGTATTTTTATTGTCCCCCTTTTACAGATATAGAAATGAAGGCTCAGAGAGGTTTTGGGGCTTGCCTAAGGATCTACAGCTGGTAAGGGCCAGAAAGCAGGGTGCGCATCTGGTTCTTTCTGTCTCTCGCACCTGTGCTCTGGGCTGTCTTCTGTTTCACCCAGGCCCTCATGAGTCAGTCTGATTTTCTGCCTCAACCTCAAACGGTAAAAGTCAGGGACTTGGAAAAATGTCTGGGTAGAATTCTGATTCTCACACTTTGAGGACAGAGCTAAGGCTGTGTTGAAATTGAGGTAGGAAAAATCACTAACCCCCTCCCTATCTGTACAGGCAGAGGTAATAGGCAGAACACTGATATTCCTTAATGATCCAGTTGGTTTTGTCATGGGGCCCCAAACAGGCAGAAGTGGTGATGCCCTGGGATGGGGGTTTCTGCTATCACATGGTGGGGACACTGTCCCCCGCTGCTTGCTCTTTCTGGTCATCTGTTTTCTCTCTCCCTTTCCTAGGCAATGGTCTGGGGTCCTCCTGAAAGGCATGGGGAACTCATGTTGTGAGCTCACATTCCGTTCAGCCATAACCACTGTCTTCCCCAGAGGTTTGGGAAGCAATACAAAGCCTTCTGTCTCTCACTTTTGTGCACGAGGGAAGGAGGACTGGCTTGAGTTCCTAGGACCTTCGGGATCCCCAATCAAAAGCATTTTAGCTAATCGCTTCCCAGAAATTCTGTGGGCTCTCCTGGTCCCACGGGGAATGGGGATGAAACATCCTTCCACAGAATATCTGCCCTGGGTTCTTTTCTCCTGGGTCAGTAGAGTTCTGACTTCTACTGTCAAGACAGAAACCAGGTTTAGGGAGGCCCCTGAAGAAGGCTGACTCAGGGCTTGGCCAGAAACCCAAGTCGTTTCCACCACCAGATTCTGATCAACTAGAGGACACAGCGGAAGCGTGTTCCGGTTATTTTCGTGTTCTGGTTAATTGGGAACTAAGTAGGGTATATTGAACATAATTAAATCTTTCTCTGATGATTGAGAATCTTGTGGTGCCCTGGAACGATCATTCTAAATATCAATTAGAAATCCCCACTGGTGGGAAGACAGGAGATGGAGCTCATCCTGCAGTGACTTCCAGGCCAACTGCAAATTTATCTTGAGGTTCACTCCCACCCTCAACACTCCCAGCCCAGATGCATTTGTGCCTTTGATACATCGGATAGTATGAGTCAAAGACACCAGGGTCACCGGATATTGAAGTTCTTTGGTGCTAGTCCCAATTCCCCTATTAAGTAGTTACACGACCTCAGGGAAGCTATTTTACTTCTGAGACTCAGTTTCCTTAGCTGTACACTGGAAGGTTGGATTTATTGGTACTTGAACTTTTTAGGGATTCAGATTTCCTTAAGAATCCACAGAAACTAAGCTTTCCAAAGCAGGGAAGAATGAACATAACTGCAAACCATTTACATTCTGAATTAGGGGGTGGGGGTCACGGAGTCCCTGAAGCCCACCCTCCTATAATGTCCATCTGTGGACTTCAGGTTTAAAATCCTGGAGCAGAAGATCTCTTAGGCCCCTTTGAGCCATACATTCCCTGCATCCGGTTAGGCGCAGGCATCTACCCAAGTCTGTACAGCAGTGCTTCTTGGCCTTAGCTGTACATTGAGACCACCTGGGAAGTTTTCAAAACTCCAGTGCCCAGGGTGCTCCACAGACCAATTAAATCCGAATTTTGCTGGTTAGGTCCCAGGCATCAGTATTTTTTAACATCTTCCAGGAGTTTCTAGGGTGCAGACAGGTTCGCAAACCGGTGCTCTAGGACAAGAATTCTTAGAATTAGGAGTGAATAGAATCACGCTGGGGGCAAGGCAGGTCCCCAGGCCCCTGCACCCCCAGTGATGGTGATTTCTTCCGGCCAGATCCCACCTAAGAAGATGTGTGGTAAATAGGCATAATTCGGATGCGGACCCCTCTTTGGGAACCTGGTAACAGCCATTCATCAGAAGCCCAGGGGAGTCCTCTGCCCTGCCGCACTCCCCGCCCAGGCAGATCTGCGAACTCCCCGCAGGTCTCCTGCCTGGCTCAGGGAGAACTTGCAACAGGTCTGCATTTGCCAAACAGCTTTTTCTCCACCTTGCCTATCTCTAGCAAACCTGGATCCTTTAGCCTCAGCCTCTAATCCACCAGGTTCAATAATTAAAGCAGAGCGCTCACAACTTCGTCAGGTTTAATATTTAAACACTATAGCATCACTTAGGTCAGCCTCAAGGTGAGAGCTGCTGCTGACGCCAGGGTTATTGCTGGTTAGCAAACCCGGCCACTGGTGCCAGAGGAGACTCAGCGGGAGCTCGGCTCCAGGGCAGGCCCGGCCCTGAGACCCAGCCGCCCTGCAGCCCCTGCCTCTTCCTACCTGGAGCGTGTGCAGCAGGACCTGCAGCCCACTGGCTTCCTGTTCGGCCATCACTTCCTCGGGTCCCGGGGAGTCGGCTGCCTGCGGCCAGATCGGGGTTGGAGAGGCGGCGGCTACCAAGCTGCCCGCTGCCCGCCTCGCGGGGACTGCTGAGGGAGGCCTCAGCTGCACATGCTGCTGAGTGTGAAGTCACCGCGCTGCAACCCTAGACCTCGGCACGGGTGTGAGTGCCCCCCGACTCCCACTGTGGGGATTAGATGAGCCCCGGCCTGGGGAGAGCTGAGCATTTGGGCGCGGGGGTGGAGAGGGCACCGGCGTGAGTCACTCACCCACCTCCAGGCCCACGCAGGAGCCACCCTGGATGGCTGACAGGCATTCCCAGCTGACCTGGTCAGACTCCCTGCAGAGGCTCGCTCGGCCCTCCCCGCTGGCTCCCCCCCACCCCCGCCTTTATTTTGGTCTGTTGCCGGCTCCCGGGTAACAGGAGACCCAAGAGTGCTTGCACAACCGTGGCCATGCAGGGCACAGAAGCCCAGGGCCCCCTGAGGTCCCAGGCTTAGGGACCGAAGCTCTGGCTGAGAAGGAAAATAAATGCTCCAGACAGTTTCTACCAACAGGCTCCCTTATATAATCTTTTAACTTTTACAATAACCCTGTAGAGGTAGTGATAGCATTACCACCCCTACCCAGACCCCCTTTCCACAAATGAGAAACCAAGGCACAGTGACACCAGGACACAGGAATGGAGCTTAGGAGCGTACGCCAGGCCTCCGACAGGCAAACCGGCATCAAAGCCCACGCACGGACCGTTACACCATCCTGCCTCTTGCTGCTGCAAACGCATTGACCTGGGAGCCCTGTCCCCCACCTCCCTGGCTCATTTCCTCCAAACGATGCAGGATCCATCATCCCTTTCTCTGTCTTCTGCTTAGAATGCGCCAGAAGAGCTTTCGTGGCTAAGTAGCCATCCAACCCCGCTCCGCATGCCAAGACCTGCGTGTCTTGTAGGCCTTTAGATGCTGGCTTCTCAGGGTGTAGCTGGGGTCTCACCTAGCAGTTTGCTAGGCTCCAGCCCCAGAGCTCCTGAATCAGAATCTGCATTTTTCACAAGACCCCCAGGGGACACATAGCTGGTTAACAAAATTACTAGAGGACTAAACTTTGGGACATCCCAGTGTGGACCACATTGATGACAGGGCTGTGAACCTATGTGTTCAATGTCTGATGATTCTTGTCCCCATCACTAGCACACAGCAAGCTCAAAAGAAAGCACAATGTTCATGTGTGAAATTAGAGAGTGAGCTCATTGAAGTTCATGACCGACCTAGAGCACAGCTAGGCAGGAGGGCCTGGGCTCATGGCCAACACCCCCGTGCAGAGGCTGGGGGAGCTTTCGTGAGCGTCAGAGCATCCAGCTGGCAGCTACCCAAGCATGCTGTGGTGACTGAGGAAAGGGAATTTGCATTTCCTGGTCCTACTTGGCTGAATGTTCCTAACTCAGGAGACAGACAGCATCTCAGTTATTCCCTCTCAATGCCAGGACTGACCAAGACCTCAAATTCAAGGACAAAAACTCATGTGGTGCCTGCCCTCCAGAAACTTCCACTCTTAGTGGCTTTAAATATGAAGACCTTCCATGCAAGGAATGGACTATAATACTCACATTTATGGAGTGTCGTGGGTGGGGGACAGCTGATCCCTACACTTCCCAACACCTCTAATGACAGGAGGGAAGAAACGAAGTCCCTCCCTCCAAGGACTTCCACCCTCTGTGAGAGGTGGAGATTTTCAGGGCACACATTCTATGATCCTCTAAGATCCAGGGGTACAGGGAGGACTGAACTGTCCCATGTCACTATCTTAAGGGCAGAGATCCATGTGCCTTAACTGCAGAATAAAGAAAAGAGAGAGGGAAGGAAACATAAAACCTACCTCCCAACATATACCTAAAAAAATAACCTAAAGAAAAAAGCCTTTGCAGTAAGAATTCCCAAAAACAACCTCTGAGAACATAACTAAAGGTATTTCTGTGGTCACAGTCTGGTCTGTTAGCACTGATGTAAAACTGGCCGCACCTGAGCAGGTATCTTGGTTCAGCTCCCTGGAACTGCCTAGGGCAGAGGCGAGGTAAAAAGCTTACACATAAAGGGATCACTCTCTTCTAGTCAGTGACTCCTTTCCCCTGCAGCACTATGAACCTTATTTTCAGTAAGAAATAAGGCAAGGAGTAGCTTCCCTCTTTCTTTAATCTTTCTTTAGCAGCATGCCTGTTTCACATGCCCAGTTTGGATGCACTTCCCCATCACTCCTGACAAAGCTCCATCCTCTGGGGAGTCATCATCTCCTTGCCCATGTGGATACACATGGATGCCAGACAAGGGATGAAGTGCTGATTTCGCCCTCTGATTTTCTAACACAATTAGGGCTTACCTCTAGCTTATTTCAGCTCTCCATCACACCTTTGGCATTCCTCTCTTGCTCCCCCAACACTTACACCTCAACACTACCCTATGGAGACCCCAGCAACCCTGCTCCCCTCTCCAACACAATTCTCTTTACTCTCAAGCAGTGCCCCCATCCAAACCTCCCTCTCCTGGATTCCATCTTAATGAGACGCCAGCTCTATGAGTGAACTAATTAACTTCGGCTGGAGTCTAAATGCTTAGCAATATTCACTTTCCTATTAGTATTTGAATCTCAACAGGGGCTTTCCTAAAAGGCAGGCGCTGATACTCAAGCTCAGAATCCTCCCAGGACATACAGTATCCAGAGCAGATTGAAATGAGTGCTCATCAAACCACATGGGGCAGCCAGCAGGGGAAGGTCAGACCCTGAGGAAGGCCAGGGAGGAGGCTGCTTTGGGCAGAAGAGAAAGACTTCCTACTTTCTTCACCTCATACCCTGTAAAGGAGGCATTTAGGGAAGCCCAAATAGAACTCAGGCCTCTGACTTCAAAGAAGATACACTTAATGTGGTCCAGAGATTCCTTTTGCAGTTCAGGGGCCCCCAAGACCACCCTCAGGTTCAATCATTCACTAGAAGGACCCCCAGAACTCAGCAAAGCTGTTACACTCACAGTTACGGTTTGTTACAGCAGAAGGATACAGACCAAAACCAGTTAAGGGAAGAGGTGCACAGGGCAGGGCCCCAGACAGACCAGGCACGCGCGGCCAGCTGCGCTCCCCCAGGGAGTCGTGCGGACAACACGGGTTACAACACGCACAGAGTACTGCCAACCAGGGAAGCCCACCAGAGCCAGGCTGTCCAGGGATTTCTTTAAGGGTTGGTCATGAAGCCCTGGCTGACCACCCACATGGCTGACCTTAGTCTCCAGCCCCTCCAGAGGTCAAGCTGACACCATGTGGCCCAAGGTCCCCACCTAAATCATATTGTTTACATAGTCTACCTAGCATGGCCCAAGGTCCCCAGGCAAACAGTTACTCTTAATCTATTCCAAGGACTTAAAGATCACCTCTCAGGAGCTGTGCAAGAGCCAGAATCTTATTGGGACGAGGTTAATCCTTTACTGCACACCTGCCCTTTTATCCCATAATCTCAGGCCCAAAAATCTCATAATATCACGTGTCTAAGCTAAAGAAGTAAGCACAGGCCTGTACAATTGGGAGAACCCAATAGACAGTAAAATGTCAGTTCTAACAGAGTGGTGATTAACAAAGTGAGGCTGATGTAGCGGAGTTTCCTTATAACATCCAGAGAATTCACTTCCCTGGCTCTTCCTTTTCAACATTTTTATCAATGAGTTGGATGAAAATAAAGACTGCAAACTTACCAGATTTTCTGATGACACCCAATTGAGAAAGATACAAATATGTCAGATGACATAGTTGGGATCCAAAAATATTTCAGCAGCCTTGAGTGATGGACCAGATCCTACAGGATGAAATATAACAGAGCCAGGTGGAAGCTCTTTCCCCTGGATCCTCAACATCAGCTGTGCAAAAAGAAGGTAAGAGACTTGACTAAACAGTGTTGAAGGTGGGAAAAGGCTTGGGCATTTAGCCAGAAGGGAGAACCACCAGAGGGTCAGCATGGCCCCATATCCTAAAGTGTCTTTTTAATCTAATGCCATCACTTTTAAACGCTGTATCTGCACCAGGATGGCAGTGAGGCTGCACTGAGGTCCCACCTTTGCAGGAGCTCAGCATGGGGCCTGACACAGAGGAGGTGCCCATCAATGAGAGCCATGTATTATTATTATGGACATCGCCCATGGAAGAGTGGTAACCACAACAGAGGAGACCCCAGTCCTGCTCAACGCTGCCCGGCCTCTAGACGCATGACAGCTTTTATCAAGGCTGGAAAGGATGTGGAGGAGGGATGGGTTCTGAAAGCAAGAAACGGAAGTAAAGTGTGGAGCTACCAGGAGCCCGATCTGGGGCAGGTGCAGAACTGTCCTGAGCTGGTTCCGGCCAATGCAAGGGGCTCCTTCCCTCCCTAGGAGGGACTGAAAGACCATTTGGTCAGAAGGTTCTGGAGGAAATTCCAGCACTAGGCGACTTTGACAGGCCCTACAGTCAATGACTTGATGGGGTGAGGAGAAAGACTTAAGAGAGCTCCCTGGTTCCAGGTCACACAGCCAGCAGACGGCAACGCTGGAACTAACTCTCCCTCCTAATCTGCTATCTAGGGTGTATCCCACTCTCCCAGGAGGCACAAGAGAGATGTGGGTGGAACTTAGATAAACAATTTTGATTTCAATAGATAGGTTGTATCTCAACCTATATTAGAAAAAAAAATCTAATTAGCACAATAAAACCATGATTTCTTAGGTATTAATTCTCATGATAAAGGTTAAAGTTTAGAAGTGAGTCAATGTTAAGAAAAACATTAAGGGAATTATAGTACACATGGCTCCCAGACTCGGCAAAAATCTAGAGGAAGTCGGTTGCTAAAATTATGGAAGGATCACACTGCTCCACGTTTCCTAATACTCAGCTCAGATTATCTTTTCCCTAATCTTCCAGTGAGACCAAAACTCTCTCAAATAATAGCTAACACCCTCTTTGCTCAGATACATTTTAAGCTGTTTAGTATAAAGATTTACCCAAGCACATGCACGTGACCAGTCTACCACAGTGACTATTTACATATAATGTTACTGTCTTTAAACTTTCCATTTCATGCTCTGGTTTTCTTCATTTTTACTTTCCTGATTTTTTTTCCTGCCCCACCTCCAGCACACACATGTGCACACACACGTGCACACACACTGGTGCCTGCACACACAGATACACACCTTCTCTGCAACCTTCTGCCAGTCAGAACAAGGCTGCCTTGACAAAATGATATCAAAGTTGATAGGCTGCCCCTACTGTCCCTCAGAAGATTTCCTTCAC